GAAACAGGGTAAGTAAAGACTAGAACAAGGTCTTGTTTAGGAGCTGCGAACCTGACAGGAAGCTCTGGGAGTGATACCAACTTTCTGCATCCGCTAACATCAAGCAGCATTAGACGAGAGCATCCCTTGATCCAAGGACCAATCTTTTGTATTTCTGTATTAGTTACGTGCAGCATTGTGATGCAGTCAAAAGCATGTGGCGATTCCTTGAGGAATTCACACTATGGCATATGCAATTCTTCAAGACTAGACCATGATCTGATGGATGAAGGAACTTCTTCTATTGCAGTTCCATTTAGCTTGAGAATAAAAATGTTTGTGGAAATCTCAGGAAAACTTTTTAATCGATCGAGTTCGCCTGAGAGATTCCATGTTGACTTGAGCAATAACCAAGATCTAATTTTGTTAGATTAGCTGCATCTCTGACAGAGGAAGGAAGCTCCACAAGACTTGGGCAGTCATAGAGATTTGAGCACCAAAAAGAGAATATGCATAAAAAAAAAAGAAACAATTTATGCTATTGTAGATTCGAAGTAAAATTTAAGATTTTACGAAAAAAGAAACTAGAATTACTTACTTTGATTCCTTCCCACAGCATCTCAAGTTTGCTGTTAGGCATTCTTAATTCAACAAGGAACTCCGCGTTAGCAATAAAAGCCAAAGCATGTCATCGAAGAATACTCCCAATCTAGTAGTAATTGAAGTTTTCTGCTTGGATACTCAAAATCACCTTTGAATCTTAAGAATTTGAGATTAGGCATTCCTTCAAAGACTCTATCACTTATATTTAACTCTTCCCAGTTTAGATTGTATTCGACATACATGCCTATAATTCTTCTAGTAATCTGAAAAGCTAAAAGCTATGTCTAATTAAATAATCATATTTTCAATTTTATTAAATTAATTAAACAAAAAAGTTGTACCTATTAAAACAAGACAAGGAGCATCTGAGTATCTGACAGAGTCTCTTGTTTGAAAAACGGTTCTAGTGTCTCTCTCCTACTTTTTATTTTATTTCATTTATTAGATACTCCCTTAGATACTTGGGTTGAGAATGGTCTAAAAGTAAACTCAAGTTCTAAAAAGCAATGCAACAAAAAACAATAGCAAAACTTACTGCTGTAGGATCAGTGAGAACTTTACAAATATCTTTATCATCAACCAAAAAACTGTCGTTTCCCCGGCTCAAGATCAGATTGTTTACGGACAATATCTTTACCCAATTGGGCAAGCAAATTATGCATCTTTATCATATCCCAATCAATAGATATGAGAGATTTCTCAGCTAAAACGTGAAGCCCATGCCTCACATTTGAGAACTTGTTTGCAAGATGTTCTTCCACTTTCTTAATATTTCCACGGTTGAAAAAACATGCTATATGAAGGAATAAATCTTTGTCCTCATCACATAAGTCATCATAACTGAACTTCAAAATGCTTTCAATTTCTCCGTCAAGGCGATTCCTTAACCTCGGTAGTACCCTAGTTCACTCCTGCTTAGACATTCCCCGGAAGTATGATCCCATAACCTTTAGTCCTAGAGGAAGATTCCCAACAAGATATGTAATTTGACAAGAAAGTTCCGTGAAACCATCTTTAGGGTACTTTTGATCAAAAGTATACATGCAGAACATTTCAAGAGCCTCATCAATTGATGGAAAATCCACTTTGTATATATGGTTGATCCCATGTGCCTTCAAAAGTTTTAAATCTTCTGTTGTGATGATAATCCGACTTCTAGAACCAAACCACTGAACTTTTCTACTTGTGCTAACCGATCCACATCATCAAGAACGAGAAGCACGTTCTTGTCTTTCAACCTTTCTTGTGCAGCTCCTAAATGAGTGATCATGATATCTTTGTGATTGATCATCTGAGACAACATTTGGCCCTGTAATTGCAGTTGTGCACTGCCCTCATCGAGACAAAGTCTTGGATAACTTCCTTTGATATTCACCATGATTGCACTCAATTGGAAACTATTGGAGACTTGGTTAAACAGAAATCTAGCTATGGTGCTCTTACCAATCCCAGCTGGACCCCATATCCCAATCATCCTGACTTCATCCAAACCGCTGCATCCTTTTCATATGAGCTCCCATCCCAATTAAATGTTCGGAATCAGGTGATGGTGTCAAATGAATCAGCATTTTCGAAACATCAGCTCTAATTCCTAAAAAAAAAGGTAGATCAATTAATATATAATAATGCAAAACTCACATACACAAATGTGACTTTCTCAAGGCTTTATATTACATAAATGCTACAAAGTTACATACAACTTAATGTGTTCAGAAAGATTAAGATCACGTGGAAATCGAAAATAGTTTAACCAAATGCGTGAAGAAGACTATTGCAGCACCACAGGTCGTAAGGAGAAATGAATAGTAAAAGATGAAATATCTCACAATGGTTTTCAGAAAATATAAAAAAGAAAATAACTTGGTCATTACATCTACTTTTCTCAAGTTGTAATTACATATAAATTTCGAAGTCAAACAAACAACAAATTAACTTCACTTAAAAAATATAACTTGGTGTGAAAATTTTGAAAAAATAAAAATAACTTGGTCACCAACAACTTTTCTCAAGATGCTAGTAGAATTTACAAATAAATTTCGTAAAGGGAAAACATTCTCTGAAGATGCTAATATCATTACAATACCTCGCCGACTTTCCATAACAGAGATGAAACTGAAATGGCTTTTGTTTTGTTTATTTGTTTCCACTTTCCAATAGATACAACAAAGGTGTTTACGAAGAGCAAAAGAAGAGTTTTTACAGAGTAGGACCAGTGGTGCTAAAGCTTTTTAAGAGTGTGAATACACAATAATAATGTCGGAAAGAAGAACAAGTAATCTTTTTCTTTCACATTCTCGAGTAACCAAAGTTATCAGCGTACTGAGACATGAACTCATCGTTGAACTTCTTGAAACTTTCCATAATCTCTGGCATTTCTTCTTCTGCTGGCAGAATCGTTGTCCTCAGATGAAACACCCTAAAACAATAAAAAGAAAGAAAAAAAATGAGCTCAAAGAGATTGTGCAAGAACATGGTAAAATGTTTGATTTTTTTTTATTAGTCAAGAAGTTTCATTCACCCTTCTTTCTGTCCAAATCCAGAGCCTGGAACTGTGGAGATTCCTGTGGCTTCTAAAAGCTTCAGGCAGTAGAAAACATCAGGGACTTTTCCAGCTTGTTTAGCTGCTTGGATCGCTTTCGGTGGCAACTTTATTTGAGGAAACGAATACATTGCCCCTTCTGTGAAATTGCAGACGACGTTTTTGCAGCTGTTGAATCCATCAGTCATGAGCCTTGCTCTTCTTCTCAGTGATTCTAGTATTCCCTTGCTGTTAAATAAAGATTCCAATGAAGTTCTGAGATCTTAATCCTTCATCAAAAGCGTGTTTATGTTTTAGTAGAACATATAACGATATATACCTTTCACGAATGAATTGATCGTACGATATGTCTTCTGGCTTTGGTGGGCTAACCATTAAACCCATCTGCAAAAGACAAAAATCATCGGTTTCAATGATGAAACATTTTGTAATCTACAGTTACTAAGAAACTAAGGAAGGGCTTACAAATATCTGCGCAGAGACGTTGGGACTGAGAGCTATAGATGCAACCTTGTATATCTCCTCAACGGTCTGCATTACCAGAATTTTTTTTTAAACTCTTGCAATCACTTGAACTACAAATAACAAAACATATAACTCCAAAATCAAGACAGTCGGGAACAAACCCTGGGAGGGATATTTGTCATCTCAAAGTAACCACCTCGTTGCCCACATTCGCCCCAATATCCTTTGGAAACGGTATGGAACGATATGAGCTGAACTTCCTTGCTGATCGGTGCTCCCATTTCCATCAAAACCTTTAGAACAAAGGATCAATCACGCATAAGTTACAGAGAGTGATGACTGCAAAGCAATTGCATAGACC